GCAGCTTGTCACTGATCTCCACTCGCAGAGAACATCCCTGCTCTTCCAGCTCCCTTTTGCTGTGCTGGCGTCCTTGGGTGGGGGTGCTCTGGCGATGTGAAGCAGCAGGAGCAGGCATCTCCTCTGTGGGGGTGGCCCTCAGCCAGGGTTTGGTAGTGTTTGACTACTCTGGCTGTGTCTCCATGAGCACAGCACTCTGTGTCTGTGGAGGGACAGATTCCCTGCTGGAAGGTGGTGTTGGTACTGTGGGCAGGGTTTGCCCCACTTATGGTGAGGAAGAGCAGAGTTACCTTGTGTGTCTTCATGACTTTTGTTTGGAAATATTTTGTGTTATTTGAAGAAAACACACAGCTTATGGCTCTTCTTTACCTCCATCCTGCTAAAAAGTGTTTGAACGGTGAGATATGCGCTTCAGATTAGGAGCAGATACACTGACAGACTGACATCTAGACTTGAGGATAATGGAATATGGGATGTGGTACATCCTTCTGCTGTCACCAGTAACTCTGCTCCTGAACCGCACCCTCCCCCCAGCTCCTGAGTCTGGCTTGGTGTCTTGCTCACGGTACAGCACTCTGTTGGAAGGGGGGATGCTAAACTGGCCCGAGTGCAGGTTTTTTACTGCTGTTCCAGCTGTAGAGGTGGTGCAGGATCAACTGGTCTCCCTCAAGCTGTCACGTGGATTGTGTGCTGCGTTTTACAGTGTGATTGGAAGGACTCTCAGCTTTGTAAGCCAGCTAAAATAGTTGAACCCATGCCTTTGTTTAACAGGGGAAGGATGAGTAATATTTAGGCCTTCAAAATAGTTTTCTGCTTTGTTTGAAACTGCTGGGATTCTTCCGTCTTTATTTGTGGGTAGTGTCCATGTTTAGTAATAACCCTTTACTTGGAGTTAGTCTGATGAAAAACACGAGGCTGTATCTAGGCTATGAAGTGTCTGTTTTTCAAGCCTTGTCGATAGCGTCCTCTTTAAAAATGTGTCTTTAAAATGCTGCAAAGTATTTATCACGGTCACTTGTACATGGGAAAATACTGGCCTTACTGCTGTGTCCTTGAGAGCGTGTGGATGAGTAGGTGGAGCAGTTGTAACCTGGTTTGGACTCTCCCCACCTGGTGCCCGGCTCCTTCTCTTGCATCACAACCACAGCATGTTGGGTTTTTTGGTGGCTGTCACCCCCTCCCAGGTGTGCCTGCATATCCAAAACTTGTCACGTGGTGTTTTGGGGGGGCTGTGGGTACTTGGCAGTGAGCCTGGGGCACTTTTGGATGGCTGCAGCCTGGTTTTGCTGCTGCTTTGCAAGGAGCCGTTGGACAATCGCAGTCGTCTCACAGATATCTCTAGGCCGTGCAGTGGAGAAGGCTGGAGGGACTCTGCAGAGTGCATGGCTGCTGGCCTCGGACTAATTCAGGTGGCATGTGGAAAGAAGGCTGCTGAAAGTAGGCAGAGGGCTCAAAGCTCTTGCTCTGATGGCCAGAGTCTGCCCGTAGGACATAGCAAGGCACCCTAACTGTGAGAGCAGCCTGTGTGGGCCTTGGAGGAGGTGTGTGTGTCTGCCTGGGTGTTTGATCTTCATCTGAAGTTAATGAAGGTGTCTGAAGCTAAGGAGTCTGCTTAGCTAATCCCCTTTCTCCAAAGTATGGATAATAGTACTTCCTTCTGTCACTGGCAAAGCTGAGACCGTGGGACTTGGCTTTCAGGGAAACCTGGGGCTAGTACCAGACCCAAGCATCCTGTCTCCCAAGTGTGGCAACTGCTGTTATCACACAGATGAATCTCTTATTTCTCTTGTCCCATGAAGTTAAACTCCTCCCCTACATTGTTTGGAATAGGTGAAAACTTGGCTTTAGTCGTTGGCAGAATAAAAGAAACCAAATCCAAGATGTAGCCGCATCAGCAAGGGGAGGTGTCAGTCTGCAAAGCATCTTCCGAAATCTGTCAAGTCCCGATCTCCTGCCGATGCTGGCACCTTGCTGCTTCTTGGATGTTAACTACCCTTACACCAAACGTAAACATAGGTGACGTAAGCAAGCCTCTGCTGCTGAAACTCCTCGTTGATAAGTAAATAAAGGAAGGAGGGAAATCCACTGCGTGTTCTTGTCCTTGGGTACGGGTGACTTTAGGAGACACACACTTTGAGGGATACTGCAAAGAGATTTGGTCAAGTTGCTGTGGAAAGGGACCATTTGCCTTGTGTTTTTTCTCCCTCCTATTCCCTGCCCCCCACCTTAAAAGCCAGCTAAATATTCACATTGTTCCCCTTACACGGAATGTAGTGGTGTGGTCATGTAACCACAAAAGGGAAACGTTTTCCATCGGATCAGTGAGATGATTCAACGCAAATGTACCCACACTCATGCTATCCTGAAAT